AAAAATGGCACATACATACATATATGAAAGAATGCCCACAGGCGACGCCTCTAGCCATTGTGTATCACAACTTTAAGTTATCGATGCAAATAATCTCCCCCCCCCCCTTCGCCAAATCTTGGCTACGTCACTGCATTCATACATACATAGATTCATACTTCAGGTGGTAAACAAAAAAGTGTTGTCATGCTTGCAGATTTTTTTAATATCATATTTTTCTTTAGTATATCATTTGGTCTGGTTGTAACTCATAAGCGTGGCGCGCTTGAAAACCAAGCAATTTCATTGCAAATTAGAGCGTAAAAGGGTATGCAGTTAAATTTGATATCACCAAGTGCATACCTATTGTCTCAACATTTGTAACTTGATTTAAGTCAGCTCTAAAGTACAAACTAAGAAGTAGATTTGTGTTAGAGATGGCTGCTTGAAGCTTAGCTCGTTAATAAATTATATGTAGAATTAAAAAATTTCGTCTACACGGTTGACTTTGTTATGTTAGTGTTAAATATACCAATCCTTCTAAATTTGGCTTAAAATGATTCCAGATATATGCCGAGTGGCCGTATAACTTTCCGGGAGTTGACGTTCACACGCCTGGTGTAGATATTTAAACTATAATCCCGTAACGTTGCATTGATATAATACCACATCTCAGTATTCTAGATAAATGCTTCCAGATGTATGCATTATGAGAATTTAAAATCATATCGGAATTTGCGCGGCTCCTTTTCCATTAAATCTGAATTCCAGTACCCTACCTAAATATTTCGACCTGCCTTCGACCCCTGAATCCGAATATGGCATAACTTTTCGCAATTTACTAGAAATTTTCAGGGTGTGCGAGTCAAACAGACCTCAGATTCGGATTCAGCGGGTCGAAATACATATCGGTAAGTGGGTAAAGTTAAAAGCTTTTATGGAAGATGCCAATATATATATACATATTTATGAATTATGAAAGTTTCAATATGTATTTGAGGTGCCACATCCCCTTTTTGTTTTAACCCTATGGTCTTGAGATGTTTGCACTAGGTGTGCAAAATATGGTTATTATCGGTCAAACGGTTTCGGACACAGCCCCGTGCATACCTAGATACAAACATAAATGAATTATATATGTAAACATAGATATAAATATATATGCACTTATGGATAATCCAAAAACTTCTAACGGTATAGCGGTTAAAAAGTTATCGTACACTTAGTATTTATTCGCAAGGAAGATTATAAAACACCTCTATATTAACTATGTACATATGTCAGACTTTTAGTATGTTTTTCAAACGTAAATCCCGAAATCCCGCGTCTCATCTCTAATATGTATCATATAAACGCACGGCAAGCCCTAACGACAATTTGTTGTCAATATCACTGACAGCTGCTGACGGCAGAGTGTAATGCAACTTGTGGGACTTCAATTGTTTCAAATTAATATTCAAAGAATTGAATATATTTTATTATAACTATGCACTTAAGGTAGAAGTATGATCTATGTATTTATATATGTATATTAGATTGGGTCACTCAAAAAGATTGGGAGTTAAACCCCCCTAACTCGAAAGCTTACTTTAAGGGAGTTAGAGGCATAAAAATTGAATTTCTTGGTGAGTCATAAGAACAACAAACCCGTCTTCAACAGATAATATATCGCTAAAGGGAATATTTATAAGTACTAAACACTCATCTAAGTTCCTGTCGACCTAGAGAAACCCTTAGTTTACCAAATTTTAATAAATATATTTCTACTCTTCGGCCGCTGTAGTGTAGCGGTTAGCAGTGCTCACTACCATTCCGCAGCGCTGGGTTTGTGCCCAGTTTTCGACCAACTTAAAAAAAAAAACTTTAGTTTTTTTCTAATAGCGGTCGCCCCTCAGCAGGCAATGGCAAACCTCCCAGTGTATTTCTGCCATGAAACAGCTTCTCATGAAAATCCGTTTTCCGTTTGGAGCTGGCGTAAAACTTTAGGTCCCTACATTTGTGTAACAACATCAAGACGCACATCACAAATTGGGGGGAAAGCGCGGCCAAACACCTAGCAAAAAGCGCAAAAATATTAATACTATTTCTTAAAAATATATTTTAAGTGATATATAAACTTTGAAATCAAGTCATAAAAAAATTTAAGAAGAAATTTTAATTTTGGCTGTTTTCAAGTAAATTTAAACTTTTTGTTTATATGGAAACCAACCCCGTCTAATGTAAATTCTGCATAAGCTTAGGCACTTGCTCGCCTGGCTTTTCGAAGGCAAACAGGTGTAAGCTAATGCGGCGGAGAAGTTTCAAGAGTGTAAATAACAATGAAATTTAAAGAAACAGTTAAATTAATTACTAACAGGCAGGAAATAAAAGCGCTGTTTTTTATATGAAAATAACTCACCTAGCTTTCGCTTCGCTTAAAATATGTTGATGTCGTTTATTACGTTCTTTGCTCCTTATCTTATCAGGGTTTAATTTGCAGCATTCCAGAGTTTTGAGGTAAGCAATTCGATTTTTTAAATATTATTTTGCATTATTTATTAAAGCACATATATATGTATGTAATATGTAAGCGAAGGCAAGTACGTAGATTTTTTTACACAAAAATATTTTATTCTCTCTTAGATTCACATAGAAACGCATTTAATAGTTTTTAATCAAATAGTTATTTATTCGCAGTATTCACATAATTTGTGTACGTGCATCTGTATGCAAATGTAAACATTTATAAAATACTAGTATTCTCACTGATCTCACTGATATTGGCGCTACCGGCACTCACATGACCTTTATAATATTTGCCTTGTTTTATTTCCAATTCATTTTGGAATGAATACATTTTTCACAAAATCGCTTTCAAAGATTTCTGCACTTATACTACAAACATGTATGTATGTACATGTACGCATATGTATGTACGTATGTATGTATGCACATTTAGAATATAATTTCTACTAATTAAGGTGTTTACTTCCTTTCAAACCCTTCTAATCATTGACCATTCACTTTGCTTATGCAATAGCCGTTGCCGTTATAACAAAACCTACTAGCTTCCGTTAATACACAATTTTTCAATACACAAACGTTTGCACTTATGTACATACTATGTATAAATAATAATAATGATAACTTTAAATTGCGTGCATTCGGTTTGCTACTACCAAAATACGTTTAGCTACTAACTGAGTCACACAACGCCTAATAAAAGTCATGTTCAGTTTGATGTTCGAGGCATAACGTCAACAAATGATCGAGCGAACAACCCGCTCACCATATGAAAATGTATTTATGTACATATAAAGGTGTAATTGCGTGAGTATCTCATATGTCAGAGTGTTTGCTGCCTTTATTTATAATAGCGCACAGCTGATTCAAAACGCGCAAAATAATACCTATCAAGTACTAAATACTTCACGCTGCATGCTTGGAACGCCTCCAAACCTAAATATGTACGACTGCAAGCATATTGACATATGTATACAATGTACTATGTATTACACGCTTACTACAGATCGCGTCTTGGTTGGGTTAACTTGGCTCAACTGTCTGCTTAACTAACTAAATGTGTTTGCGCTTCTACGTCAAGGTAACATAATCAGCGAACTGACGTCCAAGTCAAACAGCTGAGTTGCTGAAGGTACTCGAATTCACCTGACATTTAAAAGTGTACTACTCAATTAATAAAAAGAGGTTTGAGTAAGTATGTGTGTATGTACATATATTTAAGTGAGAGTGATCGTAAAACAGATATGGTAAGCAGCGTTGCCAGGTTGACGTTTTTAACATTTTGTATCCTGTTGACGTTTGGACGTTTTTTGTGTAAAAAATTACGTTTTCTAACTTCCCAGTAATTTTTCTTTGTTACTAAATCTTGCGAGAAGAACTGATTTTGAATTATTTTCTTAATAAATCTTTACAATCTTTGTGATTTGCTGCAGTTGCTTCAAAAGATTTTTTTTGGATTCTTGGACTAAGGATCCCGTGTTCAAAGGCTGGTTGTGTAAACACTTGAGGTTACGAGGCTTGCTGTAATGTTTGCAATTGCACATTAAAAGCCGAATCAGGTAGAGCCGATCCATTGCAGCAGGCAAGCTCGCAAAAGCATCAAAAAAGCTGTGCAGCATAAAACGTCAGAAAAAAGTAGGCGACTTTTTTAAGACTTCATTGAAATTGTACTGAACGCAAAAAAAGACTGAAATATTAGGTTCATTCAATAACTTTTCCAGTAAGTACTTGCAGCGAGAGCGTAAATGAAAAATAGAGAGTAAAATTGAGAGCAAGAGAAAATTTTCAGAAAAAGTTATTGAACGCAAAACTAGTAAAAACTTGCAACTTAAGCCATTTTGACACTTTCTGACGGTTAAGTTTCGGCGCGCAATTTTCTTTTTAATTGGGAATAGTTCCCATCGTCATAAAAGTAAAAAAAAAAATATACAATAGATTTGAATTTTTTGTCCATATTTTCATTTCACGAATTATGTTTCATCAAATCATCCTCTTAAACAGTTTGTTTACATTTGAATTTGAAACATAACCTTACTTTTGGACTCCTGCAAATTCCTGCTAGTAAAATTTTTACTTGCAAGAATTTGCAGCTCTCTCGGGTTGTTACGCCCTCGAATTCGCTCCCTCTTGCAAATATTTTGGGTTATTGAATACATTTCCAGTAAAAACTTGCAAGTAAAGTAACAATTCGTAACAATTTTTTGATATTGATGGACCTATTGCTATGCTCCTTCTTAGCCGAACGTAATTTAGCATTTTCGACAACCGAGCCCGATTATTTAGCCCCTTTAAGCTTGCACATTATTGCCCTGAAATTTAGTGAGCTAAAAAATCTAAAAAGAAAGTGGAAAATCCAGCTGAAAATTTGCAGATAGTTTATAATTTTTGCACAATTTTTGTGGATTTATATTTTGTTTGTTAATGAACTTGGCTTCTATGGAAAAATAATAAACTTTAAATAAACGAAAGAGAAACAGCCAGAATCGATCAAAATGTTGATGACTTAATCAGCTGATCACAAGTGTATGTATAAAATGATTTTTATATTAACGATCTCAAACCAGTTTACAATGAATTTTAAATGTGCTCTGTCGAAATGATATTTTAATATACTTTACGTACATATCGAGCTCTAACCGCCAAAATAACGTATTAGACATTTTTTTTTTAAATGTCGCTTACGTTATTTTGGGGCTCGATATGTACCTTTGTGTACAATAATGGCCTTATTCATAAAAAATTAAGTATGTTTAAAAAGCTTTATAAGTTGACGTTTTCATAAATTTTTCAATTTATAAACCTTTTATAAAGCTACTTTATTTTTTATGAATAAGGCCATAAGAGTTTAAATAAGAACAATTTTTTGTACATTCATTTGAAAAATACGTTTTTGGGTGGGAAATTACGTTTTTTCAGACCAAAAGGGACGTTTTCTCATGCCGAAGACCTGGCAACACTGATGGTAAGCTAAGCGTGTTTATATGTATACTTGAATATTTTTTTGCAGTGCACGGACTTTACCACTTTATTGCTAGATCTACCAACTTTTTAGCTGTATTTTATTCTCTACCATTTTTACCAACAAAGGCTTAAAATCTGTCAATATTTTCCCGTTGTTTTAATGTAAACCAGGGCCATACTCAACGCATCCGTGATCGAATCAAATTCGAATCGAAATTTTCTTTACAGCTTTTGGTAGCGAGTTCGCCTTTTCAGTTCAAATTGTATTTTATACGTTTTTTGTGGAAGAAACACAATTTATTCCAAGGTGAATGCATACAATAAGGTGACAACAGAAGTTCAAGAACAATAATGCCACGTAACAAAATTTACGCATAATGACACTAAGAATTACAACAAATACATCATTTAGACATTAAGAGTCCCCGAGGCGAAAATCCAGCTGCTTTGGTAACTCCATCTTACCTGAATTTGCTTCCATTTATCCTGAATGAGTAAAAACTATCTAATATTGATTCTTTAAAAAAATCTACCAACTTCCATCATTTTATGTATGTAAAATCTGCCAATATTAATTTTTTCGAAGTCCGTGTACTGCACTCGGCTGCTACTAGAGATAAGATTTTCTCACCGCTAATCGTTCTAGTCGTCTTATAACCTCGTGTAAACAAAGGGTGTTTCAAACAGACTGTTGATTTTCTTTTATAAATCCAACACAACCAAATTGATCGCAAAGCATGAAAAACAAAATCCGTTAAAAGCCCACCAATACTTCTCTGGCAACACTGGATGCGAGTATCAAAATTTCCCATGACCAGCGTTGCCAAAAGCTTTCGCTGAAAATTTGTCAACTTACCCAAAAAAAAATCGTCATTTTGATCAAAAAACTTCAAATTTTTGTTTATTATACTTTTCTATGTATGTAAGTATATAAAATAATAGCCGTTTTCGTTTTTCGGAGTTAACTCCAAAACTACTGCACAGATATCTGTAAAATTTTCAGAGGTTATACCTGCATATATGGTCATATTATAGGCTACCAGAAAACTCGGTAGGTGGCGCTGGGGTCGAGTCGATTTCTTTTAAATTCAAAATGCAAGCTATCAGCATAATGGAAAATACGTTTACCAAAAATAGACCCGCTAGGTGGCGCGGGAGTCGAGTTAGTTATAAAAGTCGTATTTATGAACATATTTTGTTAATACACATACGAAACGTTTATTACTTTCATGATGATTTTTTTTTTAATTCGAAACATATTCAGCCTTATCATGAGTTTCACCTTCCCCGAACCGGTTCACTTTTCGCTTTTGGTTTCCATGTACTTACTATGGCGGGAATGAAAATTTTCGCGTGAATTTTTTTTCGGGCTAAACTCAGGATAAGGAAGATTATACATACATAAAAAGATAGCAATTTCCGTTTTTCGAACTAAAATCAAAAACCACTCAATAGAGCCCAGTCAAATTGTCGGAGGCGCTATTATAGGCTACTAGAAAACACGCTGGTGGCGCTAGAGTAGAGTTACTTATAAAAATCGTATTTATTAAAAATTCTCTTTGCTAAAATTGGACCCGCTGGAGTTTAGGTATTTGAGAATCCATATTTTTTATAGAATCTGATTGGAATTCATAATTCGTATTCATTTCATGCCACGAAAAGGTTATGCAGAAAAGGGACCCAATGGATGACGCTACACCCGAAATATATAGAAACCCCCACGTGGTTTGTTTATCTTAGACGAATTTACTTTTCAGATGGCTAAATCAAGGATGCGATTAAGTATGCATATAAAGACCGTAACACTGTGTAACCGTGATCTTGCATCTACCACCGATTGACGAAGTTGTTCGAGGCGGCAGTTATTACAGCAGTAAGACTCAAAGAAACCAATTCATTCAAAGGTACAGTCTGAGGATCCCGCCCGCCTAAAAACCACACCAAACAGTGACTCGCTGTTGACAAACGAACTGTGCGGAGACGCAATGCGCGACATGCACTTCTTGCAGAACTAACATTCTTATAAAATGTTTGGACTATTCTTACGCGTTGTTCAATTAAGGATTGCTCCTTGGCTAAGTTTGCCAAAGCCTGTAGGACTAATGAAAATAAAAATTAAAACAGCATTAACAAATCACAACTGTTAGGGATCTGCAAAAACTTTTCAGTTATTCTGTTTCTGCCCTCCAGTACTGCTGGAGTCAATCGCTACTTTTGGACCGCTACTGAACCAACTCCTAGGTAAGTAGCTACTCTATTAACCCGTGGTAGTGCACATGGTAGTGCAGA